GTCTCAGCTGCAGCTGCTGTTTGTGGTCTCCTTTAAGCAACACTTCAGTTTATATACCCTGCCTGGGAAAGCCCAAATCTTTCAACCTTAAGGTTTCCAAAACATGTAGCAGCTGGCCAGCCCCAGCCATTCGCTGCTGTTGGAGGTGAAGGTCAGAGTTGTTCCTGAACCCTCTTCCCGTTGGAGGAGCAGTGGCAAAGACTCCTGTGGGAAAGGCTGCTGAGTCAACCACAGAGCGTGTGGCTACCAGCGAGGTGGAGGAAAGCCTCCACGCTGTAAAAATAGCTGCACTAGGAGCCCTAATATACTTAAGTGCTTATTTTTCCATGTATGATCTCATGAAAACCAAGCTGCTGGGCAGTATGACATAGCAGTTGGCCAAAAATAAAATGTAACTCAATCAAAATGTTTTTTTCTGAAGTTAACCTTTGATGGGTGGAAGGGACAGGTGCCCTGTTTTCTCATTTCCATTAAGTTATTGTTAGGAAAAAAAAAAAAATCCAGGGGGGAAAGACAGGTGAAAATGGGAGTGACACCTGGTATCCATTTTGTGATGATAGCCACAGGTTAAGGATAGAAATTGTAGCTCTCTTGCACAGGGAAGTTATGCCTATAATACAGTGAGAAAATGTACATGAGATTTCTCTGGGTGCTTCTCCAGCTGATTTCATTGAACTGAGTTTTGGTGGGCATTTGATGCTGTAAAAAAGGTATAGACTTGATAGCATTTGAAGCTGAAGCCCATGAAGGAGACTGAGTACCAACAGCCTTGGATCAAGGCACTCTAATCCCTGTTGATAAGCCTCAGAAAAATGTCTTTAGAGGCCTTTAGAGGTTCATTTTCCTTCACTGTTTGATGCTTGGCCTGTTAAATTATTTTATTTTGGGGTTTGGTTTTGTTGGTTTTTTTTTCAATTGTGGTAGACCTGTTGCGGAAGGTGGGCTGAAACCACGAAACCCCTTTGACAAAAGCCACTGAATGCCTGGAAATGCTGGTAGTTTGACCACTGTCCTGCCAGAGCTAGCATTACGCTCTTCAGGAAGAAGAGTGGCTTACGAATCCCTTGCAGGTGGAGAAACACCCAGACCTAAGGACTAGGATTGCTTTCCTCCAGCCTTGAAAACAGTGAAAAACCTTTGTAATCCTGAATTTCACGTGCAGCAGAAGTACATGCATCTCATGGCAAAACTCTGGATAAAAACAGGCAGATTTGGGGGATTGTTTTTTTTCTAGCTATTAACATCACTTTTACTTGTTTCAGGTTTTCTTATTTCTGTAACAGCAAAAGCCAGGGGAGAAAATCCCAGGCATCACAATCTTGTCATTACACTTCTCCTCTGCAGGGCCTCTGACCTGTTTCTGCTGGACACACGTGCGGTGTGGGCCTCGGAGGAGGGCTGGCTGGAGTTTGACGTCACTGCCACCAGTAACATGTGGGTGATGAACCCTCAGCACAACATGGGACTGCAGCTGAGCGTGGTGACCCGGGACGGTAGGTTACGAGCCAGTTAATGCGGGTAACCTCGCGAGCCTCTTGGATGCTGTCTAGAAGTGGTGCTAACAGAGTCCAGTTGTGATGTGGGGAGTGAGCACCCTGCCGTTGTAGGCAGCTGTTGCCAACACCTTGAGCAAAGTGTCTGAGGGCACAGATTGAGGGCTGTCAGCTTCCTGGCTGTCCCGTGACAGACACGTCTTTCCCCATGAGTGAGGTCAGGTGTCTCTGAACAGTACCAGGATGAGGTGGTGGAGGCGGGCTGGGGTAGGGTCCTGGTTCCTGAGTTGGAGGTGGAAGGGGGCATGGAGCTGGGATCTCAGGTGGGGTGAGGTTTAGGGGTGAGAGGAAGAGCAGAGGGAAGGTATATGGGTATACACCTCCCAATGTGGGCTTATGGCAGCCCTGCTGGCTGCTGTGGCTGCTGTCACTGCTCGGATCTCATCAAACCTAAGTTGGGAGCCCTGCACTGGAGAAGCGATGGAGTCGCTGTGTGGGGCTGGTCCCTGCAAGGGCGGCTGCAATGATAGCATTTCCCAGCCCGCAGAAACTTCGAAAAGTGGAAAAGGAGAGAAGAGACTGCAAAAGAGCATGAAATTGAGTGTTGGAAGATAAGTGGTAGGGAAGGAGAGGATCCAGATGAGCAGAAGGTGACCAAAAAGATGACAGTGACATCTTTCCCTCTATAGGAACCAGTCTCCAACCTTATGTTTTCTTCCTATTGCTTCATGATGGGGTTTTGTACACCTGTGGGGTCAAGTGAGACCAGAGGGGCTGTCCACTGTTCTCCCTGAGGAAATGTTAGTGCCAGCCTCCCCCTCCCCAAATGGGCTGAGAGCCCGTCCCCGTGCTCCTGACAAAAGCATCCCATCTCTTTGCCCTCTGCTTTCCCCAAAGATCGCCTAATCCCATCTCTGCTTCTTGTGTTTCACGGGCAGCAGAACTAATTTCATGACACATCTGGGCTTTGTGTTTTATATATCTATCTGTATGCCCCTTCAATGCCTAAACCAGACTAGAGATGCCATAGGGGTACCAAAGAGCCAGGTGCTGCGATGGAGCCTCTTGTCCAGGATGGATGGAGTGCTGTCTTAAAAATGTCCGTAGGTCATGGTGGCAGGAGGGGCGTGTTTAGTGATAAAAGAAGAGTGTGAGCAAGAAGAAAGGAAACACTGCTTATGGGGATGCCGTGATTCTGGAAGGAGCAATCCAACAGCACCGTTTCTCTAACACTCACTTTTCTGTTTGATTTCAAGGTTTCAGCGTAAATCCTAGAGAAGCGGGCCTTATAGGCCGAGATGGCCCTTACGACAAACAGCCTTTCATGGTGGCCTTCTTCAAAGTGAGCGAAGTTCATGTTCGGACCACTAGGTCAGCGACGAGCAGGCGCAGGCAACAGAGTCGCAACCGCTCCACCCAGGCTCAGGATGTTTCCAGGGTGTCTAGTGTCACAGGTAATCATGCAGCACCCATTTTGACTGGAAGCTGGGGCGACTTGTAATGTTTCTATTTGCTTTGGAGTGCAAAAGCAAGAAGGGGGACGTGAGGTGGGATGCTCTTCCTTGGGGGAACAGGTTACACCTGCAAGGGGATCAGAGAGGGAGTCTCACATAATGAGACTTACAGGAGTCCTCTTGAATCCAGGGTGGAGTTCAGACCCCCATGTGAAGTTGCAGCCATCGAATTCAGGGGGGGTGAGGCATTTTAACTCCGAATTTTGTGTTTGTAGGTTGCTTGCTACACAGTATTTACCTAGAATTACGCCACGTGAAATGCAATATTTAAAAGATTCCATCTCTGCATACACTGAGATTTATGGTATTGCACATCTGCATTTCCAGCAGAGTCCTCTTTCGGTTTTCTTTGGAAAAAACCCTGGTAGAACAGCACGAGAT